TGTATTATACTTTTCAAGTCATATTTCCCCAGAAATAAAGAAACAAAATCAGCGGAGTTAATGACCCGATCAAACAGGAATCCTCCATCCCCGGTTGCAGGAATTTGCAATCGGCACGTCTATCTTCTGTCTGATGCTGCTCTCACAGGACTCTGAATGGCTTGTTACTTAATACATATGTATTTTAAGCACTTATTTTACTGGAACGTACATTAATATGTAGCATCCTCATCATGTAAAACAGCCTCCCAGTTGTGTCGCTAAGATAAGCATCGTTTTTTGTTTTTTTTTAAACAAAATATACAAGATCCTGGAGTGCTGTTTGCATTACGGATTTGTTTCTAGCTGTTCAAACAGAACTAGTGCAGCTGCATGTTGTTGATGTTGTACTTTGACAGCTTCCTGTCTAAAGGATTGCTTTATTATAAAAAAAATCAGATAATTTAAGCATTAAATCTTGAACATAAGCCAGTCATCTAAGGCATCGTTCTTGTCGGAGAGTTGGACCTGGATTCCTGAAACGGTTATAAACAAACCCCTTCATTTTTCATCAGTTTGCAGTTCAGAGTTAGAAGTGTCATTATTCTAAGCTCAGGTCCAAAACAAAGAACAAGTGAAAAACTGTGATAAACATTTTTTCGAAGTCACAAAAACCGACAGAAGGAAATTTCACAGAAGCCGTGCACAGAGAAAGCGTGATATATTCTCACCGTTGCATCAGAATACTGTAAAAAGAATAGAAGCCTTATCTCTAGCGCACCCCCATCCCCATTTTCTATTTCGCTATCGCAGACACTCATGACAGGATTTCTGTTACAGGCCGTCAGAGAGACGGACAGTAGACGACCAACACCGAGCAGGTCTTCCTTTCAAAAGGCAGCCAAAGAAAGCATTGATATTCCTATCGCTTAAGTGATAGCTAAGAGTTTCTGCCAAGGATGGAGAGGACTTGACAAGGACATCCAACAGGATGAGTGAGCAACGCTTGGAGAGGATGGGAGGAATTAATTCAAATAGAGGGACAGATAAGGAGAAAACTTTAATTAGAAAATGTCAGGAAAGAGAAGGAGGTTTCAAAATAACATACATATAAAATAAATCACACCAATGGCTATAGCACTCCCCTTCTGTGTTGTCATCATCATAAACACTTTGTGACCATAACATTAGGAATACCTATATCTATTATATAAATTGTCTTCTGCCTCATCAGTGTTTGTCATGTGACTTGTGCTGCCCAACCAAATAACTTAAATGGCCTTTGAAGTGCTTTACAAAACGTAAGAGGTGTATGAAAAGGCAAAATCAGCACCTGATACATTTTAAAAATAAGGAAAGAGACCATAAAATGTGATCAGAGAGTTGGTGCAAATGATTTGGGAGCTAATAGACTCTAAAAGGGCATAAGTAATAATGTGATATCCAGAAGGTCTAGTGCACTGGAAAATAAGAATTAAGTGTGCCTAACATGGTTTCTTAGGATTATGAAGTCAGACAGCAGGCAATCAAATAATTTAACAGGTTTACAGCATACTGTGTGTCATAACTGCTTTGTCTTTTGCATTGCATTGCATTGCATTGCAAAAGAGAAGAGCAGTCCAAACACCACTAACATCCACATGTAACAGGAAAGTACATCTCCATTTCACTAGGAATGGTGGGAGGGCCTTCGGGAAGTACAATAAGAACTGGTTAGTTCTTATTGAGGATTAGAGGATTCCTGCGTTTACCAGGATGCTAGGGTATGGTTATGGAACCAACTGCATGAGTATTATACATCCTTACCACAAGGGACTACAATATAGAAAAGTAGATGGAGATTTTGTAACAATGTAATGCTTTCTATGCGTGGGTTTAGGCCCTTTAAGAAGGCCCAGATAGGAGAACATCATATCGGTTCAGATTTCTCAACCATTATTATCATTTACCTTTAAACAAAGTACGCTGTTAGCAAGATATAGTAAGATATAGCACAATGCCACCGTTTTAAAAGCAGCTTTATGTTTCCAATATCAAGATAAAAATAAGTTGTTCATGGGGACTTCTTCTTCTGTCCACGTAAAGATACGCCCTTGCTAAATCCAGCCCCTATGTTATGCAACTGTCAAATGCAAGTGTCCTTAACGTCTGGCATTTGAGAGCAGGGGACAGACTGTGGCATTGTGAGGCAATACCACGGTGTTAGGTGGCCTCAAAGTCACCCAGGGTTCTCAGCCAGAGGGGCTGAGTGGCTCCAGGAAGACATTACTGGTACCAGGAGAGAACTGCCTTTTCAGTTCTTTCTGGGTTTTCTGGATCAAGGTTGGGATCCTGGAGCCAGGAGATTTCTTAGAGCTCTGGGTGGGAAGAAATCTCCATTCCTGGGTCCATGCTTTGGTGGTGACCAGCACCTGATTGTGCACCTGTTTACATCCCTCATGAAGTGTGTGCTGGGATGTGTTCAGGGCCCCACCTGTGAGTCAGGAGAGCTCCACCCCGGAGTCAGTGTGGAGGCCAGTGCAGCAGGGAGCTGCGGGTTTGTGAACCATATTGAGAGGATTGGCATGTTATTGCCGTTGTCTGGAGGAACCAGACAGTGGCCCTAAAGATTGAGGCCGGAGCAGCAGTGCTGCGAGAGAGACTTGTTAAAAGACTGGGACACCTTGAGTGTACGTGACAACTCGAGGATTGGTGAGCCCCTATCTGTTATGCTACAGCAAGCTATTTATGTTGGATTTCGTGTTATCTATCGTTTTGAAAGCAAATAAACTGCATTGTACTTGCACCTCCGGTCTTCAGTGGAGTGTCCTTGTTACAAGACACACTAAGGGAGAGGGGCTTACGTTCAGTTTTAACTGAATGTAAGGTCCCATGTGTTGCCTGGGTCACAAATGCAAGGAGCCTCAACAGTTAGTAGAAAAGTATCTAGGTATTTGCAGATAAAATAATGTGCTGTACTTGAGTGCTATTGTTACCTCAGAATCAATTTCCTTTCAACAAACAATTGTTTTTTGTACATTATATAATGATTCAACATAACATAATGTTCAGTGAAAGCCCTTGGAAACATATATAATAGCCTAATGAAGACATATTGCACCTCTCTGGGAAAAAATTAATTCAACATAAACATGCATATATTCCTTTGAGTATATATGTACATATGTATTTACCCAGTGAGACACAGTAACAAGCCTTGAAAAGAGCTCTGAATTTGCATATTCATTTGGTTTTATTCACTTGGTGCATGGATAAAAACACACCATGACCTCTTGGAGGTAATCTTGGCAAGATTACTCTAATCAGAACAAGAGGGCTGAAGAAGCTGATATTCTTTGCTGTGTTATTATCAATGCTCATTTAAAGAAAAAAAAAAGACACTAGAGAGAGAAGGGAGAGGGGCATTTTCTTGTATAGTGAGAATTGGACTTAGCAAAAGGGAACCCCTTACTCACAAGGGCTAACAGGTTTGTAAACTATGGGGTCTATTCACAAAGCTGCCGAGGGCAGCCGAGTGAATGACCGATCAGAAGTGAACAGCATATAGGCTTGCAAATGTGATTACATTAATTGGATTGAGTTATTAGGAAACAAAAGCATAAACAGTTATAATATGCTTTGCTTGTTTCTGATGTGTCTTGCAGCCTTACATGCACTTCTAAATCAGAATAGATAAGCTGCTTTGGCCGCGTTGCCTCTGTAGCAACCCAAAAGGCATGCCAGGGTTTACCCAGATTTTATCATTTTGTAATGCTGATGCTTGCCCACCCCTTCCTGCCTTTATATTTCAATTAGCTAGTGAGGTAACTCATCATAGTGGAAGGTGAAGTACTAGCATAACCAGGACCAGAAAATGATCAGATCAAGGAAGTCCAACAGGTCTGAGGTAAAATTTAGAATGCTCAGGGAAATCAGGCATAGGAAGAAAGAAGAAAGAAGGTAGGAAACAGGAGTTGAAAACTAGAAGGCACAGCCAAGTATAGAGGCACAGGAACTCCGCAATGGCACAGTAACTCTGGTGTCTTATTATGGATCATGGAGTATGGATCATGAAGTGTGCACCTTGGCAAAGATAGCAGCAGAAGGAGCAAACACTGTAGCAGGACCTGCAGCTTCAGCTGTAATATTTCTGTCCCCACAGGTTCACTTTAAAGAATGGACATAGTGATATACAGTATTTGGTAGGAATGCAGCAATACCGTTTTTTCAGTATCGAGTACTGATAGTTTTTTTCCGGTACTCGCCGATGCCCAGTACTGATACCTGTGCCCGATTATGTTTTATCGAAAGAACACCGGCTTCATTTGCCAAGGGTGTCTGGCTTCCTGACCAATCAGGAAGCCTGGACACGAGTCATGACATGCCGCCTAGCTTGCTGATTGGTTAGGCCAGGCTGTCTACCAACAAGTGAAACTGGCTTCCTAGTCAATCAGGAAGCCAGGTGGCATATCATGACCTGCCTTACGGCTTCCTGATTGGAAAGGAAGCCGGCTTCATGCTCCCTCGGCACTGCCGGTCAGATGGAGATCTGCCTCTGACCGGAAGTTCCGGTATCGGAGGTAAGTATTGGAGCATTTGGCGAGTACAAGTACTCGGCCAAATACTTGGTATCAGCACCGATATCGGTATCGGTGCATCAATAGTATTTGGTAAGTAATGCCTCTCCCTAAGCATAAATATTGGTGGTGTAATAAACTAGGGGTGTGCATAGTCAGAAGTAAATGTATGATACCATAATACATTACACCAGATAAGGGCTAACTAAAGACGTTTCAACAAAGTAAATTGTAAATGATCTACCTATAGTTATTTGCTATATACTGTTTAATTTAAGGTACAAAATAAAAATATATAATGTATTTTTGTTAAACTTGCCATTGTAATACCCTGATCTCTTAAGCTAATATGTAATTCAGTATAAAGTTATCAGCTCTTAGTAATTTGCAATTAGTTCTCTTTATCTAGTGCTATAATTTTGGCAATTTTCTTTCAGGTACCCGCAGTATACAACATTTTCTTACCAAACAGCTTGTCTTTTGCCAATGCGTAGAGGATGCGAGAAGCTCCAATAAGGTTGCTCATGGAAGCTGAGAGAGTAGAACAGTAGATCCCAATTGTGACAAGAGGTGGACAGATGTTAATATCCCTTAAGAAGCTATAATCATTCTGCAACAAAGTCCTGGAAGGTGAAGGACAATGAATTAGAAAAAATGAGATCAACATTGGTATTAATGCTCTGTTGAAAGTAGCATTAGATGAATCATAATACTTTAAATTAATAGATGAAAACACCTTTTTATTTTCCTATTCAAGTATATCACTTTTATCTGTAGGCACCATTTGAAAAAGATCTAGGGTGTTATTCACTAAAGAGCCAAAATATCCAGCCGTAGCTTCGGCTGATCCTTCGGCTCTCTTCGGCCGCCCCTGCCCTTCGGTTCTTAGCTTCGGTTCACAATAGCCCGTACAGCAGCCGAAGGCAGCCAAGTGGCCCAGCCGATCGGAAGGCATATGGTTTGGCTCAACTGAGCTGAAGTGACAGCCGAAGCATTGAGAAAGGTCGGCCAAAGCCAACCGAGCTCCACGCAAATGACAGCTGGGCGGAGCCAGCCGTGATCTCAAATGACCTGGGGACGCTGATCTGTCATTAAACAATGACAACTGGGCAGAGCCGGTCGTGACGTCACGGCCGGCTCCGCCCAGTTGTTATTCATTCGCCAGGACCTGGTAGAAGAATCTGGCAGGTGCTGGCCAATAGGAAACAGTTGGGCTGAGCTGGCTGTCACCGTTAGCTCCGCCCAATTGTTTTTCTTTTGCCGGCATCTGCCAGATGCTTCCTTATGCAGCAAGAGTCCGTCGCATGCGGTTTTTCTTTAAAATATATATCTTTTTTTTATTTTCTTATTTTTTTACATTTTTTAAATTCTTTTGCCACTTTTTTTCATTCTTTTCACATATTTTCTATTCTGCTCGGTACCTCGTAGGTACCTAGCAGAATAGCCGAGCCGAATGACCAAAGGCAGCTGATGTACGACTGATTTTAGCCGATGTACGGCTGAAATCAGCCGTACAAGACTAAAGTGAATAGGGTTTGGCTCACTTCACTTCGGCTGGGTTATTCACTCACCTGCCTTCGGCAGCTTTGTGAAAACCCCCCTAATGTTTGCCTGTTCAAATATGCTAAACAAAAGTCAACAATTTCCATAGGGCATACTTAATTTTTTTACTGCACATCATTCTGATTGTTTCTACATCTAAAAATCAATGAAAGTACTATATATTCTCTTTAAACCAGCAGGTCATTGCAAACTCTCTTGTTGCTACCTCAACCTTGACACAATTTATGATACCAAGGTGATTAGATTAAGGTGGCGGAGTTACCCATGTGGCTATACATGCTGGAGTATGTTCCTGACACTCATTAGAACTGAAGAAGCAGCTTAGATAAGTAGGGAAATGTCTTCAGCATTTCAGGGCAGGTCCAGTTGAATCTGATTAGGTACTACTAGTTTAGGTATAATTTTTCATACTAAAGAAAAAGAACAGAAAGTATAGCAAGTCATGGCAAAAAAATGTGTATTTATTTATCTCTTTTTTTAGCTATAGTTAGAAGAAATCCAATTAGTTCCTACACGTTACTGAACTTTGCACATTACCGTTTCTCTTTGCCCACTAAATAATATTGGCAACTCACGAGTAATGTCGTATTTTAACTTATTTTGCTTTTTATCCCCTTCATGACTGAGGCCCTTTTTTCATTTTTTGCACCCATGTTATATTCCACATTTTAGGCCTGAAAATGACGTAAAACCCCCCAAATTTCTTGGATGAAAAAAACACACCTAAAGGCATTTGGCATTATTTGTTTGTAGATATGCAGCATAATGAGTGTGAAATGATGCCTGCATTTTTATTTCCATCTTCTAAATAGTAATATATTTTTCCAACTCCAGTTGAACAATCACACAAACTAGAAGTTCTTTAAAGAGAACTAGTCATGACTGGACTTATGCTAGACTTTAAAAATTCAGTCTTAGAGTGAAACCAGCTAAAACATTTTGTTTTGGTGTTTTGGCTAGAATTGGAAAGGGTTAAAAGCGTCTGTAATTATGTTTTCTTTATTGCTGTCTGTGTCCATGATGGACAGATTTACCCTCAATTCCTTTCCAAGTGACAAAGTAGCAGTAAACACTTTTTTTAAGAAGAATGGGGAAAGGTAAGGACCTCCATCTGATTTCTACTGCTGTCTGCTTAACTTTGCATGAATTATGTTTTGAATTGTATAACTGTAATGTCTCCCTTATATTGTAAAGTGATGCGTGAACTGTTGGCGCTATATAAATCCTGTATAATAATAATAATTTGACCCTTTTGAATAACTAACTTTTTCTGATCCTCACTCTTAGCTTTGAGAACCAGGAGCCAAAGGTCCCCTATAGTTAGACAGTTGTTTTCCTGTCAATTCTCTAGCCTCATAGTAAGGAAGTTGTAAGCATGATGTCAGAAAGATGACCTCTGACCCCTGACTCTCATAGCTAAGGGTCAGGCTCAGACAAAGTACATAAAGCTGAATACTTGCTAAATAGTTCACTAGGCTGCGAGCTCGCACTAGTAGAGCTACATACAGTTACTAAACTCTTATATAAGCTTTAACATGTTGAGGTGATTTCAAAAGTATTTTCATTACAATAATATCTGAGCTGATCCTGCATCAAAGGTCCTTGTTACAGTGATTTCTTGTATGGAGTGACAGTTGTTTCCCAGCTGTGCTCCATCACTGTCACCTAGTCTCATGCACCCCTGATGGAGACCACAAGCAACCCTATCTATGCAAATTGTCCAGGTATGTTTCACAGTTGTCACCATCAGGTAGCTCCATTCTGAAGAAATAAGTGCAGCCGTTGCTGGAGCACATGCACATTGCCATGCAGTGACTACAAAGAGGCTGGATATCAGAGGTATAGAGATGCAAAAATGGGGAAAAAGAAGGTGAATAAAAGTATATTATTTTGATTTTTTTATGCTGGCAGTTGTTTATGACGCTTTGTGCTTTAGCAAACTAAATGTTATCCAGTTTGGGTTTGGAATTACTGTAATGTAACATAAATAATTTAGTATATGTATATATATTTATATACATAAACAGGATTTCCATGTTTTCGGAAGTTATCAATCCCCTATGATCCTTCGCCTTATGGTAGTCACACCACAGAGTGGTGGCAACAAGCATTTCAGAATGAATCTGTCTTTTTTGTATTAGTGATGATAGCAGTTTACACCGAGTGGCCAGATTATTATGACCACCTGACGTTTGTAGGCAAATTAGCGATAATTTCGCGCTGAAGTTGCTAGAGGGCCAGACCATTATAAATAGGGAAGCAGGTTGTTTACCACGACAGTAGAAGTGATTTTTTTCTCAAGATATGGGTAAACAACGCGATTTAACAGCCTTTGAACGTGGGGTGATTGTTGGCGCTCGGAGCCATGGAGCGAGTATCAGCAAAACAGCAGAATTCGTTAAATGTTCAAGAGGGGCTCATTGTTAAAGTGTTTAAAGACTGGACTGTCAGCCAAAAAAATCTGGGTCTGAACGTGCTAATTGTGGCCGTCAGCGACTAGTCAATGTTATGGCAGAACGGAGAGTGGCAAGACTAATACAAGACAACAGAAGGGCAACAGTGCATCAAATTAGTGGTGTCAGATTCCTTGCATCACCTTTCAACATCTCGTGGCCCAAGGAAGTACTGATAGGGTGGTCATAATAATTTGGCCACTCAGTGTATATGGGCCATTATTTTGGTTCACATCCACATGGCAAGCAAAGAAAACAGAGGAATTGCTCAGTAGCTATTTATCAAGAAGTGTTGCCACTCCCCCCTGTTTAAAAATGATATGGAAGGGTAGGCATTTTTTTATTACATATACAATAGATATATCACACAGTGACGTACTGAATTCCTAATCTGCCTTTTTTGGTCACATCCTCCCCCCGCCAATACCACCAGACTAGACTGTGTGATGTCTGCCTACCTGCCTTTTATCCAGAGAGTGCTAGGGGTTATCACTTCCATTATCACATGGCAGTGGCAGTCCTTGAAAGGGCAAAACACTTAAAACCAAAGACAAGGTACATAAGCACATTTTCTATGATTACCACTAATACATGAAAGGCTTTTATTTAATGGGAGCTTGAGTGAAAGCAGAACACAAATGAAAGCAGAGTATTAGCCGTTAAACTTGGATCTGGCTGTCTCTGGCAGGTAAAAGGTTAAAGGAAGAATAATTTGAACCTTTTACTTATAACAGAAATATAAATATGAATGACACACATGGGCTTCTGCATGTTGGTGAATTATTACTGTGCATTAAGATATTAGGATGTGACAGCTATAATTGTAACACATTTCAGTCCCTTTCTTGTTAATCAAAAGTGCAGAAATAAATGTTATTTATGAGTGCACTTTCCAGCACTGGAAATTGGTGGGGGGGCGAAGGCCCCCTCCACCATCTCCTCCGCCGCCTACGCATGTCACAATAAGAATCACATTGCCCCCTCCGTTAGCGTCAGGAAAATAATGGCAGAGACCACTGTAATGACAGCTGTGCATGTGACACCGGGACCTCTCAAAATGATCCACGCATACAGATCCCGCATCAGGTCCTCCAATAACCTGACATGCACACAATTATTCACTCTCAGAATTATCCCACTTCCTGGTGCATGATCACATAATTCATCACCAAATACACCTACTGCAAAAATGACATTTATTTTTTATACTACAATATTTTTCTCATGGAGCAAGCTAATATTAGTAATCTTATGACATAATACCATTGGTTGTGGCGGGAAATAAGACAGGGTGAGCCAGCTGGCTGTGAACCTGGCCAGTAACTACAGCCAAACTGCATGTGCAACATCATTACGAAAAGTGTCATTTACCCCGATTAGATTTGATAAACATTGGCTGAACTAAGCCAGCTTTTGCTAAATTAAATAACAAACATCATTTTCTCTTAGGAAACATTTCATGAATGCACACACATTCCTCTGAAATGTCTGGATCACCCTGACCTTAAAGGGCACCAATGCAACTGCAACTGCTTGACCTCATACTAACTAAAAACAAAATGATTGTCCAATTTAGCAGAAGAATGGTCAGCACTTCAGTGCTGCCC